AAGTGCATATTCATCACAAAATATGTCTCCTATGGTGAGATATTGCACATGCGCTAACACACAACGTAGCCAGATTCTGTACTGGCTGGTATACGCAGTGGTAACCTTACATGCAAGATCTTCCTCCTATTTCTTAAATGATATCTACTGATGGAATGTTATCATATAACTATGCTAGGACAACACCTCTTTATTTTAAATGCATAATCTTTGCAAATTACGATTTCTCTCGGGAGATATTGCGCATGCGCTAACACACTAACGTTGCCAGATTGTGTACTGGCTGGTATACGCATCGGTGACCTTACATGCAAGGTCTTCATCCTATTTCTTAAATGATGTCTACTCATGGAATGTTATCATATAAATCTATGCTAGGATAACTCCTCTTTATTTTAACTGCATAATCTTTGCAAAATACGATTTCTCTCGGGAGATATTGCGCATGCGCGCGCACCGTGTTAGGCGTGCAGTACCGTGTTAGGCAAACATTATAACATAGCTTGCTGAGGGAAAGAGGGGATGGGAGACTGAGGAAAGGCGTCCGGAAAAATAGCTGGGGCGGCAGAAGAAGAAGGAGGCTGAGCGAGGGACAGGGGAGGCAAGGGGAACGAAGCAAGAGCATAAAGTAGGTGTTTTGTACCCTTCATTTTAGGGCGCTCTCCTAATTATAAACACAGGTATATTGACAAAAGTTTATTATGGAAATCTATCCTGAGATACCCCCTAACCATTGTAAGTGCATATTCATCACAAAATATGACTCCTATGGTGAGATATTGCCCATGCGCTAACACACAACGTAGCCAGATTCTGTACTGGCTGGTATACGCAGTGGTAACCTTACATGCAAGATCTTCCTCCTATTTCTTAAATAATGTCTACTAATGAAATGTTATTATATAAATCTATGCTAGGATAACTGCTCTTCATGTTAAATGTATAATCTTTGCAAAATACGATTTCTCCCGGGAGATATTACGCATGCGCGCGCACCGTGTTAGGCGTTCAGTGCCGTATTATTCAAACATTATAATATAGCTTGCTGAGGGAAAGAGGGGATGGGAGACTGAGGAAAGGCGGCAGGAAAGATAGCCGGTGGCGGTAGAAGAAGGAGGAGGCTGAGCGAGGGACAGGGAAGGCAAGGGAAAGGACGCGAAGGCATAAAGTAGGTGTTTTGTATGCCAAATGTTAGGGCGCTCTCCTAATTATAAATAGAGGTCTACTGATAAAGGTTTATTAGGGAAATCTATGCTGAGATACCCCCTAACCATTTTAAATGCATATTAATCACAAAATATAACTCCTCTGGTGAGA